CTGTAAATGATAATCTACCTTAACCAAAATCAAAGTAGACTATCACTCACCCACACCAGATGGAAAACTCTATAAATCAGAGCGCGCAGGCAAAAAAAAAAGCAAAACAAGGAAAGGAAAAGAAGAAAGGAAGGAAAGCCCCAACTGTTCATCACCTCTTACGTACAAGGCCAGCCACGCGGATGACAGGTTGAGCGCTCGCTGCCCCCATCCCCGTGTGTCACAAGGACCCACTTGCACGCAGCCAAAAGGCAAAGAGGTAAAGAAAACGAGGAGGAAACCAGACCTCACAGAGTATATATCGCCAAACAGAGCTTCCCGGTAAACCGTATGCAGAGAGGGAGAAGAGGACAACAAAGGAGGAGGCTGTGACAAACTGTTTCGTCGGAGTTTCACCGACTCGTTCGGAAGATGAACCCTCTACAGTCTGCAGAGTCCCCTAACTGATTACACTGTAAGTGATAATCCACCTTAACCCCAGTTGTGGTTAAGCATCAACGACTGCCCAACAACTGATACCCTGACGTGAGCATCAACCACTGCACTTAAGGTACCTATGACAAAAATCAAAGCAGACTATGACTCACCCACACCAGATGGAAAACTCTACAGACTGCAGGTTCACAGACGATGGTGACGACAACAGCGAAGAAGAAGAAGAATAAGAAGAGGAAGCTGTGGGGATTACAGGTTCACAGAGATAACCTCAATTTTCCTTTGTTTTAGGACGGGAATGAAGTTTTGGGAATATACATACATGGTCACTATACTTCCTTTGTATCCCCTCGAGCACTCGGAACGAATAGCCATTGGCATCAATGGTCGCTATGATGTCCGGTTGGGGGGGGAGGGAGGAGAATAAGCTTTCCCATCACGTGAAAGGTCATTAATTAGCAACTCGATAAAAAGTTAACACTTACTTCGTATCCCCTCGAGCACTCGGAACGAAAAGCCCTTGGCATCAATGGTCACTATGATGTCCGGTTGGAACTCCTCAGCTGCCGCAACCGCCTGATGGATTCTCAGCTGCAACAAAATAGGACATTTTTGGACGGGCCCATGCAATGGGACAATCAATGAACACCATATATGTACTAGTAAGAACTTTTCAGAAGTATATGTATGTAAGACAGACCCACGGCTCCATCGACGAAATGCAAAATGGGATTGTCCCATGGGCCCTAGTGGCTCCACTGAATACACAAAGAGAGAGAGAGAGAGAGAGAGAGAGAGAGAGAGAGAGAGAGAGAGAGAGAGAGAGAGAGAGAGAGAGAGAGAGAGAGAGAGAGAGA